AAGACTAATACATGTGAAATTATAGATGGTGCAAACGTGGGAAGTTGTTCGGGGATCCAGTGAAAAATAATGGAATATTGAGAGAAGCAGAATTGGGGGAACAGGTACAGCGACGATCCTACAGGAAAAGACAGAGAATGTGAAGAAATCGGCACTGCATTTCAATGCTCAGGAGAGCACCTGTGACCAAGAGGCACTGAAGAATGGAGGCAGAATGAGCAGCCCGGGTGACGTCTGCCAGCCTCTGTCACCCACAGCATCAGTGCTGCACGGCGGAGTAGCCCTGGTGGGAGGAATGCGCGCTCTGTCCCAGTTCCCTAGAGTGGGATCCCAGTCACCAAGGCTTCTCCAGCTGTTGCCGCGGCCTCCTGTTTAACCTGCCAGGGACCAGGACCTGTGCTGAGTCCCCAACAGGACACCCTCCCTCAGGGAGGCACCCCAGCCCTGTGAGGACGGTTACATCCCGGAGGGGCGGAGATTCTCCTTTACAGGAAGTTGTGCATCTGTCAAGTGTGGGTTTGACTACCTTGCCTGTAGTGCTGTGTGTGGCACCACTAGCAGAATCCTTCAAGGGAGCTGGATCGATGAACTCAGGGCATTTCCTACAATCACCCGAGCCCCAGTACCACACAGAGCAAAGCCGATCCGCAGTGGGCACATGACAGGGGATCCGAAGTTGCTGTCTCACACCGGAGCACCATGGAGCTGCTGGTCCTCTGGAGCAGTGGAAGAACTGCTTCAAAGTGCAAATGGGTTGCAAATTAAAATGTGATGAGGTTAAAGATGGCTCTCACTATCCTCAGTAAAATACCTTGTATAGGGCTGGGGATTTAGCTCAGTGGTTCAGCTCCTGCCTGGCAAACACAAGGATTGGAGCTCTATCCCTGATACCAAAAACAAACAAACAAACAAAAAAAAACAATACATTGTATATCTGTTCTCCTCATCTGCCAGGAATAAGTAGAACACAGGGTCCATTAACCAAGAAGTGGAGTGACCCCACTTCCTATCACTCCCTGTGTCTTCCATGGGAATTTGTACTTCCTGCCCCATGAGTTTAGATTCTGAATTTCTCCCCCTGTGCTCTGCAATAAATTTTACCATTTGAAGTTTGAACTGCTTACAACTTAAAATTGTAGCTCCCAATAAAACTAGTCACATATGAGTATTTAATGACCACGTGTGGTGGCTGGACTCAATATTGGATAGGGCTGGCAAAATATTTATTTTTCAAGCCACAATACTTCCACCAAGAGAAACCATGAGAATCCTATTGACCTTTTATGCTTTAGCTCCCACCTGGGTACTTATTTTTCAGGCACAGCAACAGGAGGAGGTTGCCACCAGTTAGCACGGGGATTTGGGTGATTTGGGCCAACACCTGCCATCACACTGGGGAGGACATTCCAGCTAGCATGGGACTGACAGGTGTGCCTAGGAGCCTGAAGGGTGTGGGCAGCATGATGGAAATGCTGCAGTTGGCATCTGTGGTGGGCTCCTGCCCAGGGCCTTCAAGGTACAGAATCAGCTTGCTGCTGTCACAGAGAATGAACACACATGGCTGAAACTCCCTAGGTGTGTAAACAGAGAGGGCTGGGTGCTGTGTAGCTATGGTGTAAGTATCATCCCAGGGCTCATGCAACACCTCCTAAAGATATATGTGTAACAAATAATGTATCGGCTAGCATTTCAGAGGCATAGGATAATCTAGTGACCATTCTTAAAGACAATTGGACAGTAATGCTCCCATACCTTATAAGAGGAAAGACAAGTTGTGTGTTGGTGAGGATTTGTAGTGTCACCATAAGTGGTTAACTGTAGATGCTCAATCAAAAGCAATAGATGCGACTTGCTAAGTCATACTTCTCTTCCTTTCTGGGAGGAGTTTTTGAGAGGGTTAGATGAGACTGGAAGTTCTCCAACCTTTTCAAGTGCCATCTACCACATGAGGGATGCTTCAGATACAGAATTAAGCTCATTTTCATATCTTTCTAAAAACATTAGCAGGAAGGGTTCTTGTTCTTCCATCACTAGCACCTGTCTGTTTTTTCACCTCATGGTATTCTCCAGTCTTAGCAGGCTGAAATTTTCCTTCTGTATTTGGATTCCTGGTCAGTCTGTTAACCTGGGAGCTGTTCCTACAGCACACATGACTGTCCTTGTCTCAAAATCAGGACGAGTGCCATTCCGCATACTGAAAATCAGGACTTACCTGTGGGGAGGGACACACAGGATAGATTGCAGAAGGAAGGTGTTTTTACTTTTATTTTGAGATCAACAAAGAAGCACTTATCTCCCACTCAGAGGACATCAGTGTTTGGAGGAACTCAGCTGCAGCAGATGTTTTCCTTTCCTCTACTGTGGTGAGCTTGGCCCTGACTCAGCTACAGCTTCTCAGAGAGCTTTGGGTTTGGCCACCTACATAAGTTACACACCTATATAAATGTTACATGAGCCTTTCCTGACAACTCATTTTATTAAAATCTTACAGAATTGTCCAGATGGTCTCAAAAAACTATCCTAAATTACTCTGCAAGACAAGGAGATTATGCTCCATGGCAACCTTCTTATCATCCATTTGAGAAAATTTTATAGTGTGTTATTTTGCTTCATAACCACCACCCCAGGGTCTAAGCATCATAGTCCAAAGACAACTTTTATGTGAAAAAGGCTGTTGCTATTGGCGGGTTTCCATGGTGAGCAAAATGACAGGCAGGGCCTTCCACATGCCATGGACGAGGGCAGGTGATTCTGGGAGGTTCCCTGGTAGCAGGGTACACCCATTGCCTGCTCATTTTACATTCTTAAGTCAGGCCAGGTCAGTGCCTTAGATACAGGATCATTCTCCATGCTCAGAGGTATTCTTTATATCTCTGAGTATAGAAATACATTGAGCTAGGGCTGGCTTCTGGCTGTGAGGAATGGGGACATGGTGGACACTAGGTGCCCTCACACTAAGAATCTAGGGCTTGCCCTGTCATTTACCACACAGGCATCCTGAGAAGTCCCTGAGCCCAGTAGGCCTCAAGGCACTCACCTATAAAACGGGCCTGACACACAGTTTTGGTTGTGGGACCGATGGACTGTAAGAAGTGTATGAAAGCATTTAGTAGAATTTCAGACATACTGTATATTTAATACTTGTTCGTAAGCATCTGGCTCTAATATTTCTTAACCTTGGATGCTATCACACTTTTTCTATAAAGTCTATGTGTGTGTTTCCCAGAGAAGCTGTGGGTTAATCGGAATATGAAAAGAAAATCAGGCACAATGCTACTCAGTAAACATCCCCCACAATGTGTCTTTTGCAGTAGGATGTGTTACTTGACTTAACACCAGGAAGAATTTCCTTTCTGGTAACAGCTAACTCACAGCTTTAGGAATCTTAGTGAAGAACCATGTTCTCCTCCCTTCCAGCTTCTCTTTTACTGACAAAACTAATTTCAATTATATCCCCTTCACCAAAAGTCTAACCTTGGGCTCACAAGGCCTCTGTTTCAAAGAGGCCTAGGATCTGGTCATTCTGGTGACCCGGCCCGCTCAGCATAGATGCAGGTCCATGGATCTTAAAGCAAAATGACATACTATAACAACACCAGCATACATTTCCTTCACAGAGAAGTGTGTGAAAACTGATCTAGACTATTCCTGCTATAAGAGAGGGGGAAGACTCTCACAAACTCTGAGAAGGTTCCTGGAAGGAGAACCCCTTGGTCAGGCAGTGATTGGATCACTCAAGTGAGTCCCAAGGCATTTACCAGATAACAACAGCCATCGTGGAAGAGTTCTCAGGGGAAATGGACTCACTTGAAGATGTTGTCCGCTGGAAAATCAGTCAACTGGGCACTGCAAGACACTGGAAAGTGAACAGTCCCAAAAGAGAGGAGAGCACCTGGCCAGGAACTTTAGGGCCTTATTTCAGCTGAGAGTCTCCCTTATCTCTCAGGAAATCCTTGCAGAGGCAGGGCATAAGCCCACTGGTTTTTGCCCTATATAGGACCGCAGTTCTCATAGTTGTCCCAGGTAAAGATTTCTCTCAGCTTCAACCAGGATCTAAAAGCACTGCTCAGAGCAGTCTTCCATCCTCTGAGAATTTTACCTCAGGCTTACGACATCCCATCTGAGGTTGTGGCCCTGGCCACCTTTCAGATGCATGAAAATCAACTCCTACAGAAGGAACTGTAGTTATAGCAACCCAAATTGCCCTGGTTCAGCACTCACCAATGGCTGCTCTCTGCTACACTCCACCCTGTCAGCGTTCGTTTTCATGGTCCTTAATTCCTTCAAGACATCTATCTTCCAGGCACTGGTAGTACTCATGGTCACCCCTATCCCATGGGGTAGCTTAGATCCTGCTCAGTCTGGTGTACTTATGTCTCCACCACAGACACAGGGCCTCCCAAAGTGCACACGCGCAAAGAAATTTGGGGTCAGTCTGTGAGCAGATGAGCTTATTTATTGACAGAAATTTCTAATACAATGGAAGAAATGAAGTATATGCAGGTATTGTGTGTGTGTATACACACACACACACACACACGCACAATTTTAATTGTATAGGAAATTAGGTAAAAAGAAATAAGAGAACAAAGATTTTTTTATCCTTATATCTATTTCTGTACTATAACCAACTTGAAGGAAACTTCTTATACATTTATAAGAAATTTATATTCTAATGCTACAATATCTTCTTCAAAATAAAATGAAAGGTTTCCAAGTAGCTCTTAAAAAATAGCAAAGGCTCTTACATTTGGAAAGGGAGAAGAAAATTTCTTTATGATCAATATCACACAAATCATATTCACATCAGAAATCACAATCAAGCCTCAATCTCACAAAACCAAAAATACACATGAGATCAATATCGTTATTCAAATAAAATGTGCAAGCTATGCGAAACTTGCAAAGAAGGAACAAGACTTCAACTAGTCATGGAGAAAACACATGTGCATTTCCAGGGGACCCAAATAGGACAGACATCACGATGCCTGTGTGGGGTTTTACCCTGACCTGGCTCTTCAATACTTAGAAAACTGTGTGCGATCCAGAAACAGTGAAGGATGGGACTCATTTCACGTGGGGTGGGAACTAAGATAGTGATGAGGTTAGGGACACTCCCTGTCACTGGCACTAACCTTGCCCCTTCACTGTCCCCTATCTCAGGAATGGGCAGCCTCTGACTCCTCTCTCAAAGCCTCCTCATAGAGATGTGTGTAGGACCTGGGATCTCTCTTATTAACCTTGGCTAAATGCTCCAGGACTTTCATCTTGCTGGTTTCAATATGGGTCCTTCGACCCCACAGAAACTCATAGCGAGGGGGATCACTATTGGGCACCTGGCGATACTCCAGATATTGTACCTGTACCAAATCCTTTGTGATGAATTCCCAGGGATCCCCAATAACAAAGCGCTCCCTCTGAGGTAACATCTCCCTTGTTCTCAGGAATTCCTTTACATCCTCCTCACTGATACGGTTACCCTTCAAGAAGATGACAATGAGGATGACTACCAGGAGATTGATTTTGGACATGCTCTGGTAATCCTCGCCCAGTATGCCATTATAAGTGAGGCCCAAGACAGGCAAAAGGACATATATTTTGCTACCGGGGTCCAATTCCCTCACATCAATGCCAAAGGCCAGACTCATGCACTCACAGACATCCTTAAATATCTGAGGGAAGGACTGTCGGTGACGGTGTTCCACACTGCGTGTCATTTCTGCTTTGGTGATTGCCTCCTTCATTTGATACTTCATGAGCAGGACTGGCAACAGTTTAGACATCTTCTTATCTTGGTACAGAGGGCACAGCAACTGAAGGACTACCATGTCTGGAGAGCTGCATAGATCCTCCTCTTCTCGCCTGCTGCATCCCTCACCAGATTGGCTACTGTGACTGGAGGCCATGGCAGCGGGGGAGAATGAAGACACCCTGTGGATCCCGGGGGAAACTTGATGTCCTAGCCCTACCCGCTTTTCTTGATGTAGCAGGGGTTTAAGTACTGGAGGATGAGGAGTCAGAGGAAGTTACTACTTCTTCTCTCACGGGCTTCAAAACCTGCAGTCCTGCCAGGCCCCGTGCGCCTCTTTGCACAAGATGGCCTCCTCCAAGCTTGCTGCGCTGTGTCCTCTGAAGAAGTTCTGAGATTCTTTGGGGAGAGCGAGAGCTTGGTGATGAAGAGTCAGATGCCTGAGGGAGAGAAGGACACTGAATGTTCTCACCTGACAAGAGTACTCTGTCAGCTCACAGAAAGGCCCATTATAGGTCTTCTCTTTGGGTGGTGTTCACAGGGTTCTTTCCTAGAGGCACTGTCCTCAGAACCAAGACAGGAAGTCTGACTGTTCCTCGGGCTGCAGTTTAACCGCAGAGAAAGCTCTGGGGCAGACAGTAGGGCTTGTGGGACCTGGGAAAGAGGATTCCCTCTGTCCTTGGGCAGGTAGACTCCTAGGTACACATTTCCGTTCACATCCCTTACCTTGACTCCTGGGCCTGGTGTCCCGTGTGATCTGTGGCTGCTGCCTCAGACCAAGACCTTCCCCTCCTGAGCTCCTGTAAAAGACATGGAGGGCTCGTCAGGCTGCAGACATCATGCAGAGTCCCTGTGTCCCAGCCCTCATGGTAGGGGCTGGCTTGCCTTGTGAGGTCTTCACTCCTCTGGGTGAATGGTCCCCTTTCTGCTCACTCAGGGCCCCCAACTGTCTTGGGCAGGGCCTGGACCCCAGCCCTTTACAGCCTGAGGAAAGCTTAGAAAAACTGTGTCTTGCTGCCTGATGGGGAACAAAAGGCAGTAAAGGAGAAATATACAGGGCCATCGCTGCCTGGGGTTGCAGCTGGAGGTAGAGCAATTAATTGGGGTCAATGTGGCCTAGGAACAGGAACTTGATCCATCCTTATCTTGATGAATTGTGAGATCTGAGATTCTCCCTGGGATTACCTGGGGCTACTTTCATTAAACCTCAGCCCTATCAATGTGAGACACTTGACAGTGAGGGGAAGTCAGTACACCTGTGTTCTCTGGGTCTGACTGAGGGTATAAGGCAGCAGATTGAGGGTGTGGAACAGGTGGATTCTGTCTACCTCATCTAGACCCTTGGTAGATGCTGGCATCCTACTGCTGCTGCCTCAAGCCCAGTACTCTATACTAAGGTCTTCAGCTCTCTGAGATCAATGTTGCAGAACTAGCAGTATTCTCAGCCTGACAGCCCTTCCCCGGTTTCCCCACATGACCCAGGGCTCAGGAACGATGCCTGCAGAGGACTGAACATCTGTGTTCTGAGCAGTGTTATTGTCATTCTTCTTTTCAGTTCCTCAACTTGCCTCTTGTCAGATCCTGGCACCCTTGACTCTTTCGACCAGGTAGAGTTCCCTGTGTCAACCTACAGGTACCATCTGAGATTGAGTCCCGCACCTCCCTGAAATCTCCAGGATTTTCAAAAGAAGTGAGCCAGATTCCCATCATGTCACCCTTTCATGGGGGCTTCAGTTCTGACAGAAGCACTTGTGCCCATTTCTCTTGTGATTCAGTATCCCTGTTATGGTTTAATTTAGATTTTGTCCTAAAGTCCCATGGGATCATGGGCAGAACCTTTAGAAGATGAATGGATTATGGGCCTTACAGCTGAGATACTGCTACGTCATGGGGCCTTTTAGGAAGAGGAGGGTCTCTGGGTGAGACAGAGCAGGTTAAGTTTTTGTTCCTTGCTCCCCTCTCCCCGCTCTGCTTTCTGTAGGACTTGGGATACATATCTTTCCTCCTACAAGGCCCTTCTACTCTACTGTTATGCCTTGGAGATGGAGGACTATGGACTGAAACCTCTATAAATTATGAGCCAAAATCAATTTTTCCTCCATTGATTTGCAGTTATCATATATTGTGTCTGAGCAATGAGATGATAAGTAAGGTAACCCCTATGTGATTCTGTAGTTTCTCCATCTTCCTTCTGTCCATACCTGCTCTTATCACCCTGATGGCTCCCCAACTTCCTGCCTAAGTTCGAAGCGCGCATGCCTCTTAGGGCCTCTGAAGGCAGACCCAGGGGGCAAGTAGACTCTTTGAGTCTGTTATTTCTGGAAAGCAGGCTCCCTCAATCTTAAGAAAGAGGCCATAGCTTGGGTCTGTCAGTTCTTAGGGTCCCACATTTCCTAACCATATGTTGCTCCCTCTGCTGACTTGTGGTTACCCCTTGGACCAAGGTCCTCACCTCCCTCAGTGCTCCCAACTATAACCACTTAGCAGAACTGAAAGGAATTCCTGTGCAGCTCCCCTCATGGAGAACTCCTGGCTGATAACAGGAGAAGCCAGGCTCTGTGAGATCACTTCTTTGTGTAGGTGTGGCTTACCTCATAAATCTTCAGTGCTGGGAAATAGCAGAGTAGTGAGCAATAACAATTTACCCTATCCAAGATTGAGAAAGAACTCAGAGTATGGAGGATATTATCTTGGGGAAAAAGTAAAGAAAAACAAAGTAACAAAAAGTCAAGCAGGTCCCCAGGAATCCAGAAGGAAATGATGTGAAAAGTAAAAAGTACAGAGAAGTAAAAAGACAGACTACAATGCAGAAAAGAATACAATTCATTTCTGTCTGGCCCCTGTCTTGTGGGAAAGGGATTACATCTGTAGGACCAAAGTGAAATCTAGGGACTCCAGGAAGTCCAATAGAGTAAAGGCAGGGAGGGGTTCCGTGGAGCTCTGCTCCCACCAAGTCCTTACACAGCAAGCAGTGGGTAAGGGACTCTTGTGGAGGTGCCTGCCATATCTTTGGAGAGTGCATGGGTTTGGGTTCCATTTCAGGAAAGGGTTGGATGTTTGAACTGGGGACTCAGAACAGCCACGGGACAGCTGTACTTCAGGGTTCCCAGAATTACCCTCCCACAATGACTGGATGAGAGACAGTCTCATGAAACATCCCTGGGTGGGGGAGGATCGAGAGAGACACACCATGACAGGCTTGAGCTCAGCTAGGAAGGGCACATGGCATGCCCTCCTTGGTCAGAGGCCATGCCCAGACTAAGTTGCTCTGGATTGGAAAGTCTTGGCTTAGTTATTGGAATCCTTACCTTTTCCAGCACTGTATCCAACACTGATGTGGGTTCTGGCTGCCTTCCTTCTGTACCAGTGTGAGCAGGGAAACCTCTTGACTGGGACACAGCTACAACCTGAGAAAAGCAGAGGAGCATCTGACAAAATCGAGAATTGCCAGACTCCAAAATTCTGGATTCTGGAATGAAATTGTTCATTTAAATTCAGAATGTTTTTGTTATCCTTTTTTCATATCTTTTTTCACTATCCTTTACTTTTAATCTTCCTTTATTTTATTACCCATATAATTTCTTTTTCTGTTATCTTCTATTTCTCATCAGTTTTTTTCTGTTACCTTTGCCTAATTCTATAAAGATCCTTCTAGTCCGTAATAGTATACTTCACCCCACTTCTTTATCCTCACATCATATAGTTTGACCTTTCATATTTTTTGTCTTGAATTCTCCCTTTCCCAGATCCCTATATTTTTAATCGTATAAATATGAAGCTTTATTAAACTTTATAAAGAAAGTTAACACTATGAAATGACTGTTGAATGCTTTTCTAAAAATAGTGGCGCTCTAGCTCTTATAGTTAGTACATATGAGCTGTATGTCAAAACCAGGGCTGTATTCATGTTTACACTTTTACAGTAGATTTCTAGTCTCTGTAGTTAATCATGGTACATTGTTGCTTCTATTTGTATTTTAATGTCCAATTTGTGCCCCATAATACTTCTGCAGCTGATTTGGATGACATTGCTGGGGTCATATAAATGTTACAATTAATAGGTTTTCTCTGCATTATAATTCCCAAATTACCACTCAAATAACAGTTTCAGGATACATTCCTAGAGCTCTTGGTGTTGAGCCAATTGAACTGCATCCTCCTAATCCCAAATTAACAGAGGTGGTCAGATTTTAGGGTAGAGGAAAAGGAGTAGTTAGCTATGCCCAAACTATATCACTTAAAAAGCTAACTAACTAAGCAGATCTCTAGTAGTAACCGTCTTTCCACGGTCAATGCCACAAACTTCAACACACACACACACACACACACACACACACACACACACACTCACGAAACATGAGAAGATAAGGTCAGAGTGCCTCTCAAAATTTCCAATTCCCCCAAATCCAATCCAAGTGGAAGAAAAGCATAAGCCACATGTTTAATTGCTCAGAATCTTAATAGTGAAGGTGAGAAAAAACAGAAAAGAGAACCTTGGTGGAATCACAGAAGATATAATTAAACAGAAAATACAAGTAATTAACCAAACTGATCAAGGAGATTTCTGAAAACATTAATAAAAAGCTAGCTGAGCTAAGCCAAATGATACAAAACACAAATGAACAATTTATCACAGAATTTCAGTCCATGAAAAAGTTTTAATCAGAAATCTTGGAAATTAAATATTATATTGAAAATGTCTGTATCGGAAGCAAACTGCAACACATAAAAATTCTAAATAATTAAAAAACAACCAATGAAGTTGAAGCATTTATACATTTAAAAAACCTAGCAACTAAGAATAGTCAAGGTACAGAAGAATTCAGTGCCGAATTCTACAAGAACTTTAGATAAGATCTAATGGCATTACTCCTCAAAGTCTTCAACAAAATTGAAAGAGAAGCAGTATTCCTAAAAATATTCCTGGAAGCAAGCATTACCCTGATAGCAAAAGCAGAAAAAGATCCAATCAATAAAGATAACAATGGGCCATTCTCTTTAATGAACATACATGCTAAAATTCTCAATAAGATATCAGCAAATACAATGCACTAAGTCATCAAGACCAATTAGAATCCTTTCCAAGGATGCAGGGATAGTTTAACATGCTCAAATTAAAATGTAATATACTGCTTAGACAGAACTAAGGAGAAAAATGCAAAAATATTCAATAGAAAAAGAAAGATTTGAAAAAACCCACCATCCAATCATTAAAAAGAAGTCCTGAACAAATTAGATATAGAAGTACCAAATTTCAATCTGTTAAAAACATCTATGACAAACCAATGGCCAAATTCATATTAAATGGTAGCAAGGCTGAAAGCTTTTCCTCTAAAATCAGAAAGAAGACTAGGATGTCTGCTATCATCACTCCTGTTAAACACAATTCTAAACACATTAACCAGAGAAATCAGACAAGAGAAAGAAATGAAAGGCACGTGTATAGGAAAGGAGAATTAAACTATCCTTATTCACAGTTGACATGATCCTCTACATTGAAGACCCCCAAAACACCACAAAAGCACTCTTAGGATTAATAACCAAATTCAGTAGCGAGGCAGATTACAAAGTCAACATGCAAGAATCAATACTGCTCCTGCACACCAGTAATAAACATTCCAAGCAAAAAACAAGAGAAATAATACCTGTCACATTAGCAACATGAAAAATGAAATACATAGGAATCAACATAACAAAGGAGGTGAAGGCCTCTATCTACAGTGAAAATTAAGAGTACTGTAAGAAAGGAGATAAAAGAGGGTGTCAAAAAATGGAAAGAAGTTTCCTGTTCCTGAAAATGCAGAACCAACATAGTTAAAGTGGTCATACTTCCAAACTTCTATACAGATTTAGCACAATCCCAATGAAAATATCGATAGCATTCCTCACAGCACTAGAGAAAACAATTCTAAAATTCATACGGAATCAGAAGGGACCTAGAATAGCAAAAGCAAACCTGGACAACTGTAGCAAACCTGGAGGTATCACAGTACCAGACCTCAAGTTAAATTACGAATCTACAGTGATGAAAACAGCATGGTACTGACAAAAAGCAGTCTTGCAGATCAATGGAACAGAGTAGAAGGTACACAAACAACACCAAGCAAACTCAGCTACATTATCTTTGATAAACAGGTGAAATACTTTCCCTGGAGGAAAGAGAGCCTCCTTAACAAATAATGCTGTGAAAACTGAATACCCACATGCCAAAGATTGAACCTGGACCGATATCTCTCACCATGCACTAAACTAGAATCAAAATGCATCAAACATAAAAATATTAAAACAGAAGCTGTCTGCTGAAAACCAAAATAGGTAACACTCTGAAAGACACAGGCATAGGAAAAGTCTTAATGAACAGAAACCCAAGTACACACTAAATAATATCAAGAATCAACACATGAGATTATATCAATTTTTAAAACATCAGCACAGCAAAGGAAACAATCAATAGAGTGAAGAGACAACCTTCAGAATGGAAAAAATTTGGCAGGTACTTCTCAGACAATGGATGAGTATCTCTAATAAATATCCCAAAAAAATTAGGGCTCCAAAATTGAAATATCCAATCAAGACCTTGTCTTCTGAAATGAGTGACACTCGATGAAGTACAAATGGCCAATAAATACATGAAAAAATGTTAAACACTGCTGGCCATTCAAAAAATGCAAATTAAAAGAACAATAAGATTTCATCTCACCACAGAAAGAATGGCTATCTTCAAGAATTCAAACAATAGCAAATGCTGGTGAGCCTGAGGGGGGAGTGGAGAGGAAACCTTATTCATTGCTTGTGGGGGTATTAACTGGGACAAATACTATGGAAATCAGTTGCAGATTATTGAGTAAAGTAACACTAGAACTTACATTCAACTCAGATATTCTGCTTTCTTGTATCTTCTTGAGAGGATTAAAGATATCATAATGCAGAAATATATTCATATCCATGTTCATAGTAGCACAATTAATAGCTAAATATTTAAAGAAGCCTATATGTCCATCAAACAGGTGAATGAATAAAGAAAATGTGATATTTATGTACAATGGATTACTACTCTGCCATGATAAGCTAGTCATTTGTAGAAAAATGGATGTACCCCAAAGTATAATACTGAGAGAACAAAATCAGGCACCAAGCTTAAATGTCACATGGTTTTTCTTAAGTGAGAAACCAAAACTACAAACAAAGAGCAAAATGAGATGTAGATAATAGCAAATAGTGGATTGATCCTTATCATACAAGAGGAAATCAAGAGATGGAGAGATTGGGGAAGTGGGGGGGTGACATACAAATGGGAAATTGTGAAGTTTTCACATGGACCAAGTCCCTATGAGGAATGTGATCATTATGTACTCTAAACACATTATAGGAAGCAACTGAGGAGAGGGGAATGGGATGAAAAGGAATGAACATGGGTCATGTACTTGTACCTGTTCCCCACGATGAATGTATCATTATACATACAAACACTTACCAATAAAAACACCTTCAGTCCTCCCCCAAGTTCCTCTCCTCGATTCCCTGCAGATCCTGAGCTGCTCCCTTTGCTGACAGGACGTGTCTGCTCCTGTGACCTGCTGAAGATCCTCACAGCGAGGCCCTCCTCCCTGAGACCAGGGAGACAAAGGGCCAATCCTTTTAATGAACACAGATGCAAAAATCCTCAATAAAGTACCAGCAAACAGAATGCACCAAATCATCCAGACGATCACATATAATGACCAAGTAGAATTTGTTCCAGCAATATAGGGAAGGTTCACCAGGCCCAAATCAAACATATAGTACAGTGCCCAACAGAAACAAGGACAAGAAGTACATGACCATCTCAATAGAGGCAGAACAAATATTTGACAAAATCCAATATCCATTCATTATGAGAATCCTGAAGATAACAGTTATAGAAGAACCTCATCTCAGTCTCATAAAAATCATCTATGACAAACCAATGACCAAATTCATATTAAAAGGGGAGAAGCAGAAGCCTTTCCTTCTAAAATCAGGAACAAGACAAGGATGTCCATTGTTACCACTCTTGTTCAATATAATTCTCAACATATTAGAACAATCATGTGAGAGAAATTAAATACATATGTAAAGGAAAGGAAGAATTAAATTATCATTTGGAGATGATGTGATTCTCTATATAGAACACCCTAAAAACTCCACCAAAAACTCCTAGAATTCATATCCAAATTCAGTAGCATAGCAGATTACAAAGTCAATATACACAAATCAAAAGCCTCCCTGTACACCAGTAATAAACTCACAGAGAAAGAAATGAGAGAAACAGTACCTTTCACAATAGCAGCACCAAAAAAAAATAATGATAATAATAAGTAGTAATTACCCTAACCAAGGAAGTTAAAGACCTCTACAATGAAAACTACACTACTCTGAAAAAGGAGACCAAAGAGATTATGAGCAAATGGAATCATTCTTACAAGCCTACCCCACGGAGTCCATGATGAGCAACAAAAATGAATCTGCATCATTCAGAGGCAGTCTTTCTGGCCTGGGGTTTCCTCACCCCCTGCAGGACCTCACCTGGAGCGGGAACAGGTTCTTTCTGTTCCTTTCCCATGAAGGACAGACATCAGAACCAGGCCCTCCCCTCACTCTATGACAACAGAGGCAGAAGTCAGTGGTTGTCCCACCTATACCTTCACAGGGCTGACAGGAATTTTAAAAAGGAACTGTCCCCTCAGGTCTCCCTCAGACCTCACCTTGGTCTCTTCCAACACCAGGACCCCCTGTCAGCCCACTGTGCTCCCCCTTGGACAAAGTGTCTGACACTCAGGGATTTCTAAGGCAGAAAGCATGGGCATGAGGAGTGAGAGTAAAGTGTCCCAGGAACAGGACTGACAGCACAGGCAGCTACGGATTACTTGGGGGGGGGGTCTGCTATCTCGCTTAGGGCTCCCACACTTACCCCACAGACCCTCAACTTGACCTAGATGAGCCCAGATTATACCTCCTGCTCTTACCTTAAACAGCCCTTCAGAACCAGGCTCTGAGTTCCAGGGGTACCAGAAATAAAATGAGGCGCTCACCTGAGAATTCTCCACTGCACAGTGGGTGCAAGGCTGTCAAGAGAAACAGATATGGGTTATTTTCACACTCTCAACCTCAGATGGGGTCTTCCTCTCAATTAAAGGCCCTGAATTTAAACTAAGCAATCTGGGGTCCTATCTTCTCAGTCCACCTGAAGGGCAGAGCTCAGAACAAGGCCCTGATGCCCAGGGTCTCCTGTGACGGCCATGGGCCCGGGGCTCATCCTATCATATCTGCCCCATGTGGAGCGGGTCATGTCTACTCTGTGTGTGCACAGCAGAGGTGGTTCTAGATTTCTGGGGAAGCTGTGAGCTGAGGCTTCTGCAGTGGCCCATATCCTCTTGCTGTGACCCAGCTAAACCCCGTCCTCTCTGCTCCCCAGACCTGGAAGCAGAGGTTTCAGAGCAAGGTTATGTCCTCTTCTGCTGCCCTGATACAAAGGGGGAGATGTACTGAAAATTTTTGCCCCCCAGGTTCTGGGCTGTAACAAAGGCAGATCTGGATTGTTTGGGGAGCCTCTCCCTGGCTTGGGGCTTTGTTACTCTGCCCTCAGGGCCTCATCTTGACCTAACTTAGCCCAGGTCCTCTCAGCTCCTCCCACCTGAATCACAGTCCTCAGAGCTAGGTTCTCATCCTCCTCCCCCAGCTCCCTGAGGTGAAAGGGTTACTCCCCTCAGATATTTTCTCCCCTAATGCGGGGCTCCTTTGACCTACCTGACCCCAGGCCTTCTGTTCCTGCCACCTGAAGCACAGTCCTTAGAAAAAGGCTCTGACTTTCAGTTCCTACTAAGGAGAAAGGAGGCAATCTGATGAGAATTCTGTGCTGTGAGCAGGTCAAGTGAGTTTTTTCTAGAACATTCTGAGATCATCTTCAGAGGTAGGCACTCCTCAGTACCACTAAAAGCCTCTCACTTGGACCTAACTGATCCCAGGGTCTCGCTGCTCCTATCACTTTAAGTTCAGTCCTCGGAGCAAGGCTCTGATATCCTCTCAGGGCCCAGGGAGAACAAAGAGAGCCTCCTTGCCAGAGATTTCTGTACTTCTTGCTGAAGGACAGGGAAGAGGATTTTCTAGAATGTTCTGAGACCACTCTCTGGTGTCAGTCTTCCAGTTTTCATCTTGACTGAATAAACCTAGGTCCTCTGCACTCTTTCCTTCTGGAGCCAGGACCAGAGAACAAGGGTCTGATGCTATACTGTGGATCCCCTGAAGCAAAAAAGAACCCTCACCAGGGAATTCTTCCCAGAATGTAGGGCTAACAATTGGGTACATCTGGATTCTTTCAGATTGCACTCCATGGAGTGGGGCTTTCTCACTTTCCCCCAACCCCTCAACCTGACCCCTTAGTGAGCCCAGCCCTTTATGCTGTCCTCACCTGAAGTGTGCAGCTCAGAACAGGACCTCTCATAGCTCTGACACAAAGTGGAAACAGTGAATGGATGTCATATATAGCAACATGCACATTTTCTCATGGCTGACAGGAGGAGCAGAAAGAAATTCTCCAGGCCCCTCACTCCTCTCTAGGGATCAACACCTTGGGTTTTGGCAGAGCCTGTACCCAATTCTGAATGGACCTAACCCTGTTCCCCATTGTCTTAAGTGCTATTTCCTGGATCCCCTGAGGCTGCAGCTCATTCTAACAAATCAGCCCCTGCGTGGTCCAAGGCTGAGGAGAGGAAGATCTGAAAGTTTGGAGGCCCTCTCTCTGAGTTGGGAGGTCCTTACTTCCTCTATAGACAGTCACATTGATCCCTGCCCACACTACTCCTCTCACCTGAAGCCTGAACCTTATAACAGGCCCTCCTGTTGCTGTAACTGAATGAGGCAGCCAGTGGACCCTAGATCCAGCAACACGGCTAGGGTCTCACAGCAGGGGTGTCAGAGGAGTCTCTAAACTCCCCACCCCGCTAGGGGTCAGCACCTTGGCTCCTGGCAAATCTTGAACCCTATTTTCTATGGACCTGAATATGTTCCCCTCGGATCAATAATCTGACTCTCAAGGTACCCTGAGTGAGAATGTGATCTCACTTGGAAATCATTCCTTTTGCTGTAGGAATAACAAAACAATATTTCCAGATTGTTTGGTGGCACTTTCTCTAAAATGGTGCTTCCATATTCTCCCATCAGGTTTCACTTGCACCACTAAAAGAGCTGGGTTCCTCTTCATTCCCCTCATCTGAAGTGGGCACCTCAGAACAAGGCCATCACAGCTCTCTGACCCCAAGAGGCGGCACTCAACGGGCATCACATGCATCGTTGTGCCTGCCCTCTGTCAGGAGTGGAATAACTGAATTCTGTGGGTCACATTTGTCCTCCCTAGAAGTGTTCACTTTTGACTTTGAGACAGCTTAGACCCTTGTCCTCCACAGACCCGAGAATATTCACCTCTCATGAAGAATCTGACTCCCAGGGTTCCCTGGGGCAGAAGGGAGGAGACTCATCTGATCATAGAATAACTATGGCTACTATGCATGATTCACGGCTATACCTTTTTTCTATTTTTCTTGCATTCTTTAAGTTCTGTTAAATAGTAGTTATTTTGAAAGCCAGTCCTCACCCACCAGGATGGACTCAGGTGCTTTTTGGTATAGTCTCTGCAGCCTGGCTATCTTCAATTCCTTGCTGTCCTGCTATTACATGTAGGTCACTGGAATCTGATATGAGGCGCTGCCTAAGACTGTGCACTATTATAGAGGGAGGAGTTTAAAACTCTCTTCCAACTCATGCTGTCATGAGCCAGATATACAGGCCTTGGTGCAGACCCTCAACTTCCCTGCCCCATCCAATCTCCAGTCCCAGGTCAGCAGTCTTCATCCTCCCCCAGGGCTTCCTCATGTTGTGAGGTTTACACTTAGTTGCTCATGTGTGTTTGATGCGATTTACTCCTTCTGTCTTCTGTTGTTTTAAGGAGTTAAAGTAGCCTAACCTGTTTCTCATTTTGGTCTTTATAGGCAAGGCACTGTTTCATAAGGAATTTAAAGGAAATTAAGGTTTTTACCTTATTCTGTTACTTTTCAAGGAATATGACATACTGTTCTATCAGAATCCTTTTGCCTGAATCTTTCTACAGAGTTTTACAGTTGTCTTAAAATGCATGATTTTTATTAGACTTCTTTTTACTTAATTTTTTAGATACGTCTATGATTTATCTGCTGTAAAACAAAACTTTAATCTTTGTACAAAGTATAGTTGCTGAGATTAGTGGTCATTATTTTAAGTGAAATATGCCAGGCACATTAAGACAAGTGCTGCTTGTTCTTTCTCCTATGTGGAAGCTTAAGAATTATCATTCAGTTGTAAAACAGTGATTCCCAGAGAATGGGAAGGGTGTGGGGAAAGAGTGGATACAGCAAGGCTGGGTTTGATGAGTGTGCGCTGTATCTATATGATGAAATATTATACTGAACCCCCGTTAATGCATATAATTTATACATGTTAATCAATAGTGAAGTACTATATTTTGAGAAAAATAAAGAAATACTCTGTCAGTTTCCAACCTGCTATCTTCCAAGGTTCAAATGATAGATGACACAATCACATGACCTAATTTTTCAAAATATCTGTGTTACCATTTCTGTTTCTCTCTGTAGAGATAAAATTTTTATGCTGCACATCTAAGATGTCCCCCAAAAGTATCCCATTTAGAGGAGGGGCCTGGTGAATGAAGCAGGGGTCACTTGGAGCAACACTGGAAGGGTGTGTTTTCTCCCCTTCTCTTTTTGCTTCTTGACTGATAACTGTGAGCCAGAATAAACCTCTCCTCCTTTCACTTGTGGTTGTCAGGTGTTTTGTCCCAGGGATGAGAAATCCAATAAAGAATTACCTATGTCTGCATTAATAGATACCGACATATTATAGATCAAGCTTTACTCTTTGGGTGTGGATATGCAATGGTTTCAGAACTAGTTTTTTTTTTTTTTTTTTTTTTTTTTGGTACCAGGGATCGAACTCGGGTCCTTGGGCTTGCGAGGCAGGCGGCAGAACCACTGAGCTACATCCCCGGCCCAATAGAAGACATTTTAATTGAGAGAAGAAGCATAAATGACACGGATAATAATGAGTAACTATCGACATGTTTTTACACATGACTGGATACACCCTGGTTCATTCATCAGCATCTACAGAAACTCTGGGATAGTATTTTGTATTCAGCATTAAAGGAACTTACACAATATTATAGCTACAAGAATCACTAAACCTCATGTAGTAAAAATTTTCTCTACCATTCAGGTGAGAAAACAGAAGTCTATAGATGATAAATGCAAGATCGCAAAACAAGGTGTGGATTCAATTGTTTCAGAACTTTTTTTTTTTTTTTTTTTTTTTTTTTTGTAACAGGGATCGAACTCAGGAGGTTGCATTTGCTAGGCAGGAGGCAGAACCACTGAGCTAAATCCCCAGCCCCAGAACTAGTTGTTTTAGAGACTATCCTTTCTCTCTTCTAATCTTCATTTTCATCTTTCCATAATTAGTTGTTTATATATGTATATACAGGTGGATTTATTCCTGGACTTCATTCTGTTACACTGATATATTTCTAGAGTTATTTCATTGTCTTGTTTGTTGTTGGTGCATAATTCTAGAAATGAAGTAGGGCATATCCTGTATTTTTGTTCTACAGATTTTCTTTGGCTGTTCTAGGTGCTTTACATTTTTTATGAATGAATGTTAGAATTTCTATTTTTAGCCCTTTGAATGTATCAAGTTATTTGGGAAGAATTGGTTATTATAATAGCGTTAATCATCTGAGTATTGATCAAGGCTTATCTCTATATTTTGATATTTGTTATCTCTTCTTTCCAATATATTATATTTCTCAATATACAGATAGTCATCTTTTGTCAGATTTATCACTTTTCGTTCACATTTTCTAATCTTATTTTAAATCATCATGCTCAATTTTAATTACCAGTTCCCCATTTTTAGTGTGAAATACATGTATAATTATTATAACCAAGGACATATTTAAACTCAACTATTAGTTCTAGAAATATTTTCTTAATTAATAGAAATTTATGCATGGGCTTTCTTATTTTCTGTAATAAATTTACTTCTCCCTTTCCAATGTGGAGGTCATTGTAAAATTGTAGCTCTATTCAACAAATGTTGGAGAGTTCCAAGGAACTCCATCCTCTTCTGTGAATTCAGTATTCTTCACTTCTTATTCTGACAGCCAGTACAGATAACGGTGTGGAGGTTCACTGAAATGTTTTCCTACTTGGAAATATTCCACATACTTCTGGCACATTATTACTTGCCTCATCTCTCCTATTCTGTTACAGCCCAAGACTGAATACTATGCCTGCTGAAGCAAGCAGGTCCATTTAATTGCAAATTTAAATTTAAAGTCTGTAAAATGAAGACCTCACTAGAGAATTCTTCACACAAGGACAGGGCTAAAAGCAGGGTACAACAGGATTGCTCCTGGTCTTGCTTTTTGCAGTGGGACTTGCTCACTCAACTCACACCCTCTCAGCGTGACCCCTAACTGAGCCCAACCTTCTCTCCTACCTCACCAAAAGCACACAGCTCAGAACAGGACCTCCCCTTGCTCTGACCCAAAGCAGAAGCAGCAAGTGGATGTCAAATCTGGCAGCGCACGTGGGGTCTCCAGGGCTGACAGCATGAGGGGAAAGGAATTCTCTAAGCACCCCTCCTCCATAGGAATAAATACCTTGGCTCCTGGTAGTCTGTTCCCCAGTCCTCTATGGACCCGATTCTGTTCCCCACTGCCCAAGGCTCTACCTCCCAGGGGCCCTGAGGCTGCAGCTCATTCTAATAAATCGGGCCCTGTGTGGTCCAGGACTGCCAAGAGGGTGTAGGGACAGAGGGTCATAGGCAGAAAGAAGGATAAAATAGGATCTCACTAAGCTTGACTAAAGAAATAAAAAACCTTACTAAAGGCAGCTTTTGCCTCTGCAGTTAGACTCCAGCAATTCAAAAGACAAAGATAAAGAGAGAGAGAAACCAGACCCAGGGAGGTGCCAGGTAACACAACGTAAGAATTTATTGAGAAAAGAAGACAGGCAAAAGAGGGGTGTAGCCAGGAACACGAAATGCCAGGGTAACCAGGGCCCCCACCACACCTAATAAAATGCAGTGGAGATGAGGAGCAGCCAACTAAGGACTCATTTAATGTATAAAACACGTGTGTCCCCTTAATCAGTAACTCTAAGTTACCTTTCTATAAGGCGCTTCCCCCTCACAAAGGGACAGGAAGAAATGAAAGGGCCAGAAAGAATATACATAGAGGTGCTCAGGTGAAGACCAAAGACAGCCAGAGAATCAATCAGATGGCAACAAATTCTAAGATGCCCCCTCCAGGTGGGGAAATCACTAGGCCCAAATGAAAAGGAAGTGAGGACAAAAATCCACAGGTATTTCACTTCTGATACTCCCTAGTCCTTTACTCTGCTCTCCCAGGGTAGCTATCTCCCATCTTTCCTTTCCATCTTCTTCTAAATAGACGATTTTCATTTTAAGCTGCACCTCTGATTCATTACTAAGCCTGAGAGTGACCCTTCCTGGGTTATGTGGTGTTCTAGATGCATCCCACTTTGTCAGCAAGAGGAAGATCTTGAGAGATTGGGGACCCTCTCTCTGAGTTGGGACATCCTTATTCCCCCCACGGCCCATAACCTTGACCCCTAACTGAGCCCTGCCTTCTATACTCCTCTCACCTGCAGCCTGAACCTCACAATGGGCCCTACTGTCCCTGTAACCTTATGAGGCAGAGTCTGTGGACCCCATAGCCAGCATTGTGTCTGGAGTTCGACAGCAGGATGGAAGGCAAGCCTCCTTGTCCCACCAACCTCCCTAGGCATCCTCACCTTCCCTATGGATCCAGAAGTTTTTCTAATGTTTTATTCAACTCTTTTCACTGTTTTTTTTGCTTTTCATATTTCCTTGTTTTTATTCTTTATATAATTTCTTTTCTTTGATCTTGTTTTTGTTATCAATTTTTTTATCATTTTTATCATTACCTTTACTTCATTCTATAAACATCCTTCTAGCCCTTAAGAGGATCATTTCACCTACTTCTTTCTCTTCCTCATATCCTGCAGTTTAAGCCTTCATATTTTTCTTTTTGCAATCCCCCTCCTTAGCACACTATATTTTGGTAGTATAATCATTAAGCTTTATTAAACTTCATATAGTTAACTCTATAAAATTACTGCTGAATTTTTTTCTAACAGGGCAGCTACAGTTGTCACATTTAGTCTGTATTAGCTGTATGTCAACACCTGGTTTGTA